CCCCCGGTCCCCCCGCGTGGGGACAGGGACGCAAGGAGTGAAGCCACCAGAATGTTTCTGTGTTTTTTTTTCCTTTTTAATCTCATTTTTGGGTTTTTTTTTTGCATCTTTTTTTTTTTTGCCTTTTTTTGTTTGTTTGTTTTTTTGTTTCTTCTTCTGCCTCCTCTCGCGCCGGCGTCAAAACTGGACGGCGCCGGGGGAGATGTTGAACATGGAGGGGTCGAACTTCTGCCCGCGGAACGGGGAGCCCTCGGTGTCCCAGCCCTTCTTGAGCATCTCGTGGACCTTCTGCGGAGAGGTCTTCTGCCTCCTCTCGCGCCGGCGTCAAAACTGGACGGCGCCGGGGGAGATGTTGAACATGGAGGGGTCGAACTTCTGCCCGCGGAACGGGGAGCCCTCGGTGTCCCAGCCCTTCTTGAGCATCTCGTGGACCTTCTGCGGAGAGGCCAAAGGAAGCGCTTGGTTTGGCCCCAAAATTGTGTCCCCCACCCCGCTGTCCCCCGCCTTGGGTGCCCATGGAGATGCCACCCCATCCCGGTGCCGCTGTTGTCCCCAATGGGGAAGGCTCCCGTGCTGGCAGCCCGCTCCGCAGGGACATGTGGCAACTATGTGGCTACAAGGTGCCATGGAGAAGCCCTGGAGCATCCCGAGGCGGAGGGGACGCTCCGGGCCGCGCGGAGGAGGTGGCCCTGGAGCATCCCGAGGCGGAGGGGACGCCTCCTCCTCGTCCACCGTGGCCATGGAGCGCTCCTTGTTGATCTTGTCGATGTCGATGCGCTCCTCGCCCTCCAGCACCGCGTTCCACCAGTACTCGTCGCCCTTGCTCAGGCTGACCTGGGGACAGTGCCGGTGGCATCAGGGGACGCGACGGCCCCGGTCCCCTCCCCGCTCATCCGGAGCCCCGGCGCTTGCCGACCCTCCCGCTGCCGCCGCGGCTTCTCCCACCTTTTTGGGGGGAACTTGAGCATTTGGGGCAACAACCGGGATCGCCAGGAGGGGATCGTGGGCAGCAGGAGGGGACACTTGGGGCTTAATCCCACCAGGAAAGCAAAGCCGGGAAAATATTCCCGCTCGGGGAAGGCGTTAAGTTTTCCCAGCTTGACGGGCTGGTTTCTTCTCCTTGGATGAGCTTTTCCAATGGGAACCCAAGGGCTCCAGGTTTAGCAACGGGCTCCTTGACCCGCTCAGCGGGATCCCGGGACGGCGGCCGCGCTCCAAAAGCCGCCGTGGGGTTTCCAGGGACACACGGAGGCCGGGGACACCGGGGAGCTGGAGGCTTCAAGAGCAGCTCAAGGCAGGACTTGGTGACTGAAGAACCCGAGCGGGGACGGCAAATGTTGGAGAGGAGAAGGAAGGGAAAAAAAGGGGAAAAAAAAGCCCTCAGCAACAAAAATAATCCCCAAACGTGTTGTGCACAACACCCAGCGGCGACTGCTAAAACCGGTTCCCGCGGGTCTATTTTCAGCCCGTTCTTGCCAAGCGAGCGGGCGCGCGGAGAAGGGAGCGCGCGGGGCCGGGCCACGTTGGGGACACGGTCCCCAGCACCCCGAGGGCCTTTGAGGGACGAGGTGACGCGGGGGCAGCTTCCTGAAGGGCTTCCCTTGTCTGAAGGGCCCCAAACTGGAGCCCCATGGGCTCTTCTCCGGGACGGGAGCATCTGAGGTGCCCCAGGTGCCAAAAAGGTTGGGATCTTCTTGGATGACTCCACTGCGCTCCATGAGTCCAAACTTGACATGTCCCCAGTGTCGCTTGGAGATGTCTTCTCCTTGGAGAAGTTGGGAGCTCCCCGCAATTCCCAACCGCCGCATCGGGACGTTGCCGGGAGTTGTGTGGAAATTCTGGCAAGGGGAGGGTCCATCCGGTCCCATCCGCTGCGGATCCCGGTGCTCTAAGGGGCCAACTCCATGGGAATCCCGGAGCTTGGCGCTTCATTAACAAGCGGCCGGGCGGCTGCTGATGAATGAGCCGCGAGCATCCGGAGCCGCTCCCGGCTACTCCGCGCACGGGGAAAGGAGACGCTCTCGGGTGAGAATTACTCACTGTGCTCCAGTTACCTTACAATTCTTCAAGTGAAATTTCATCCCACCATCAATATGTTGGCAGCCAGCTGGAGATCCTCACAACCCTGCGCTCGTGCTAATTTGAGGCAGGCAGGAGCCGGCTCCGCTCGGAGACGACGGGATGGCTCCCCGCGCCGCCCGGGGACGCTCCGGAAGGCCCCGGGTCTCGCTCCGCCCGCGCGCGCTTCCCAACCTCCTCCAGAGTTGGGGATTTCATGAACATCGTCTCCTTGGCTGATCCTGGGAATCCACTCCTGGACCTGACCCTTTGGAGTGGTTCCTCTTGAGCAGTTCCGCTCCTTCTCCAGGTTGAGCTTCTCCTTTATCAGATAATGTTCAAAAACCTGCAGAAGGCCTCAAAAACGCAAGTTGATGACGTCATGGGTCCTCGTTTCATGCTCTCTCCGTGATCTATTGGATTCGGAGAAGCAGCAGCTTCACCAGGTCGTTTGTGCAGGATGATGTCCCAGGGTACGTCCGTATCCATGCGGAGCGGCCGGACAAAGCATCTCCACGCGCATCCCTTGGGATTTCCGTATCCAGGACGAAATTCCCACTCAATTGCACCCTGCAGGGCTTGGCTTTGAGCATCCACGTGCTGCCCCGTGACAACTTCAACAGGTGGGGGACAGCCCTGGGGACGCGGGCCACAGGCCAGCCTGGGCACGCCGGGAGGGGGACAAGGAAGCCAGGAACGAGCCGGACACGGACAGCCCTTGCAGCACCTCGACCGGGAAGCAACGGGAGACCGAGCGGGACATTGCATGGGGGAAAGAGAGCGTGGGGCAGGTCCAGCTCCGGCTCCAGCTTGCGGCAGCTCCAGGTTTCCGTCTGGAAGCCGGAGCGGCCGCGAGCGCCGCGCGGTTGATCTTGTGCGTGAGCTTGCCCTCCATGAGCACGCGCGGGCTGCCGCCCTCGAGCACGGCCACGCGGATGGCGCCGCTGCTGATGTCCACGGCCACCTGCGGAAACACACGGGAGAGGAGGACGACGGGCCCCTCGCTGCCGGTGACGGCGGGACCAGCGGGCTCTCCGGGCGGGAATCCCGGCAGGAGATTGCGGTGCCGTTTGCCTGCAATGTCTCCCAGAGTTCCCCCGCCGCTCCGCAGCCCTCATCCCGAATGTTATTGCATTATCCATTACCTAGGAGATTGCCGGTGACTCACTAGCTCCACGCAGGCGAGAGCCGGAGCCGAGTGCCCCCTGCTCCCCCCAGCCGGGATGCAGGAGGCCCCAGGCCGGGGCCCGGAGCGGGGCATGGAGCGGGAATGGCTCCATAGAGCCCTTGGACACCGCAGCGGGATGCAGGGTTCAATCTGAGACGCGCTTGATCCCGAGGGAGGTTCCCTGGGGCTCAGGGACCCCTTTAAGGGAGCTCCGGGAAGAGCGAGGCATGCAGGGAAGCACCGGCTCCGGCCAAGGAAT